CGAAATCAAGGCCACCACAGCAATGTTGGTTCTAGATTAATCGAAACTCTACATTCACTTCCACGATAACGCAATGCCCATCCTGAAAAGTCTATTTGCGAACTGGTAAGCAATAATGACGTAGTGTCGGAAGGAAATTATCAAATGTAACCTTAAATTGCGTTTTTTCTTCAAAATGGTAATTTAAATAATGAATTTACTTATTCTTGGCAAATATCTGTTAAATCAGGTAAACAGGATAAAGCTATTTAGACAGTCTAACTATATCAGCCTAGAACCGAATAACACCCAAACCAATGGCGTTTTTGGAAATTGCGAAGGAAGTCTATTAGAAAGTTTTGTATACTAGTGACAATCAAATACCAACTAACCGATATTTGATTCAAATATGAGTACAAAATGGAAAATAAAGGCGTAAGGAAGTGCTGTTTTCCTCAGAGGAGAGTACATTTAACTCGTATACAAATGAGAATGAAATGGCAAAATGTATGTAGAAGGCTAACGACAAATGAAAAAATAGAGATCATAGAAATAAATAAGTTTTACGTGGAAAATCTCCGTATGCGCTTGTAGTAGATAATATAAAAATAGTAGAGAAAAATATTAAATCTGATATGTAAGATAAACGTGAAGAACTACCTGGTGCCCAGAAGGACAGATAACTTGTTGCTGCTGAGACTGGTGATGAGGATGATGTTGTTGTTGTTGCGAATGGAGGATAGCTGCAGCCAACAAAGAGGCTGATTGTCCAGCAGAGGTTGGCGTTAGCGGTGGAGGCGAAGGGCAGGTTTGAGCAACTGAGTAAACGGAAGCTGCAGCCGCAGGAACAAAAAGGCCTGCACTTGGAGTAGCACCTGGTGAAGACAAGGAGGCGACTGAGCCAGTGGCAAACAAAGAAGCTGGGCCGGCTGGAAGGACGGCTGGACCGAGCGCATGATGGGGCAAAGTAGAGGATCCAGGAAGTCGATTTTGTTGATGTTGAACATGTGTATGATGAGTAGGCGATACGGGAAGCAGAGCAGAGGGACCAGAAGAGCCAAGACCACAGGCAGCGGGTGCAAAGAAAGACGAGGATGGGCGATGAGATGCAGAAGGCGATGGCTGCAATTGCATGGCGAAAGTTGCGGGCCGAGAATTAAGCTGTGCAGAACAAACGGTACCCGAGGGTCTACCGCCTCCGATTACCCCTGGTGGCTGTTGGGGTGACGCTGCAGGATAGCAGCTTGGCCATGTAACTCCGCTACCACCGACCGTGACCCCATTTCCGGCAGAAACAGAATTTCCTATGCCTCCACCAACAGCGCTAACGAAGCTGCAACTACGTGAGTGCCCATGTCCTCCCGGTAAAGAAAGTAGACCACTCCCACTGCAGATACTGCTGCCAGCAGGTCCAGAAGAGTTATGAAATGTATCTAAAATAGGTGGTGGAGAAGGGACAGATCCTGATGGGTAGCCACTTGGCACGGAAGGTAGAGGGGTCCATGGAGAAATTCCTGGTCCTGGCCGAGCTAAGCCGTTACTTGAGATAGTGTTCGGAGAAAAGATGGCATTTTGACCCTGCGTGGAGCCTGCCAAAGAGGGTTGTGGTTGGATTGAGTAAAGGCCAACTCTACGAGTAGGCAGCTGGATAAAATTAAAAAAGTATATCAACTTGTATCGCCTACTTACAAACAATAATTGGTTAGCAAGATAGAATAAGATAAAAGTTGAATTTTTGGCGCATGAAGGAAAATCATAGCTACGGCTTTTGGTAGCATGATATGAATTATATATTTAGATTATAAAAGCACTAAGGGCAGCTTTAAAAATGTAAATTGTGTTAAAAAAATAACCAGATGGAAAAAGTATAAATATGCGATAGATGATAAATTAAGGTCATTGGAGCGATAGATAAAACATGGCGCTGAAGCTTATCAGGAAATTAAAATATAGTTGTTTTGGCAAGCTAATTAGACATCTGCATTAATAACTGGCGAATAAAGTACACTGATTTGGGCCAGAGCTAAACAAATGCTATGGAGCAAAGTGTAATTTTTTTTCCGAAAGTGGATTTTAATTATTCCAAAGAACATGACCTAATTGTCAGTTGAATGGAGTGAATTCCATGAGTGTAAGAAAAATGCTTGCGAATCAAGCAAACTAAAAAGATTAATGGATACGAAAATCTCGATTAGACAATTATTGAAGCAAAGAAAGAGATTACCTTGTGTGATATCTGTGACTCAATTCCAGAGGTGGTCGAAACCGGGACATAGTGGCTGGGTAAATGAGTAGACCCAGTGAAAGAATGCTGTGCAGGCAATGGGCGGTGAGGTTGTAGGCTACCGAGTGCCGTCGGTGCCTGAAGCAAAGGCGTAGATACAGAGTGAGGCACTACAGTTGAAATCATTCGTGCTTGATGGTGCGCATGATGGGTATGGTGTGGCGGTGCATATGTATTACTTATATTTGGATTATTGCCGACCCCATTTGTTGCAATTCCAGCTAGGCCTATCAAAGAATCATCAGCTGACCAAAGAGATGGTCCAGGGAGGCCATTGACCGAGTGAGATGTGGAGTGAGCTAAGGCCGATATTGGCGCATGAAGTGAATCAAAGATATTGGGTGCGGCGAGAGGAAGTGGAAGTGGAGAGGATGTGTTCAGAGCCATAGATGCGTCGAAAAATGCAGATGTAGATGAGGTAGACGAACATGACAGAGGAAAATTTGAGAACCCAGAAACAGGTGGTGACCAAACGGAAATTGAGGCCTGTTTGTAGCCAGATGCAGGAGCAGGGATAGTGGTGGATAGTCCAGACAAGCTTGGCTTAGTGTCGAAGCGAGGCTGAACAGGTAATGGTAGCGGATAGCCAGCAGAAATTATGGGTCGGGACATGGGGCCAGTTGGAGCTGCAAGAATAGCAGGAGAGCGAGAGGCCAACACGACTGAAGGGGAAACTGTAGAATCGATAGTAGAAAGCAATGGAGATTGGGTCAAGCAAGCTGCAGTTTGGCTGTGTGTGGACAAGGGTTGTTTTTGCGAAGAGTTCGGAGGACCAGACTTATACCGAGCGTCCGAAGGCTTGCTTTGGGAAATCGCAGAAGTGGATACATGATGTACTTCTTGATGAGAGGCCTTTGGACTAGAACTGGGTACCAGACCAGAGGATGTTAAAGAACTGGATTTGTCATTACTATGTTGCTCCTCCTGCTTCTGTTGATGATGTAGGTGGGGGTGATCGCCTTCAAGTCTGGTCTCAATAGAAGTTGCTTTGCCTGGGCGAGAAATATCGGCTAGGTGGTGATCTCCGGGCAATAAAGGTTCCTCTAGCGAAGGCCATAGAGGCCCAGAATTGCCGATTCTTTCTGCACCATTGAAACTGAAAGCTAAATGATGGTGATCTGTACGACGGGATGATGCAACAGTAGCTGATGGAGTCTGTGCGTGAACGACCTTAGCAGCTATAGAGGAATGTGGTTGCTGTTGTTGTTGTGGACGCACTTTGCAAACATTTGCCGAGGGTGTTGTGACAACATTCGAAGTACTGGCAGAGGCTTTTGAGTGACCAGGTGAGTAGGCTTGGGGAGGCGTACGAGCTCCAATTTTCGCGGCTCGATCTTCAACATCAGATTTGAGAGCCACCGCTTTGTCAACGGTAGAAGCTCGAGGACTGTCAGAGGTCGTAGATGGCTGAGCTGGCCGAGAACCAACTACCTTGGACCAAAGGCGATTTCCCGAGTTGCCGGATGAACTAAAGCTTGATTGATTGGTTATACAGGTTTCATGAGCCTTTTGGTTGAATTCTTTTACTATTTTAACATGGGAAGACAAAAAAATACAATTAGATTTTTAAAATAATGATAAATAATAAAAGCGCAAGTTGAAAAAATAGTCAAGACCGGCGCGGACACAAATTTAAATAGTTAAATCATCAAAAATGATATGGCAAAGTAGATAGTTGACTAATGAATTTTTCATACACCTGACATTATATCAGACTAATGACAAAAGGCCAACACTAGCTTAAGTAACTTTATCAGAAACATATTATCAGAGAATGCCAAGAATGAGATAAATTAATAATGGCAATCCGGCCTTAAAATCATGCCCAATAATATAATGGATATAAATAATGGAGATATGAAGACCAAGATAGTACGACCTTTATTTGGTCAGCCTCCTTTAACTTTATAGTGTTGAAGTGGGTTGACCTCGTTGTCGCAACTTGGTCTTGTGTTCAGGGAGACTATGTAGAACGCACCGA